TTTCTTCTCGGTTTGTGTTTTTGTGACAGTGTGACCACAATGTGACTTGCCTGTGGTTTTCTTTAATTTTTTCTGTATGCTGCTAAAATACAAATTTTTGGACCTCTCTGCCCTGTTTTCATTTCTGATGCATGTTGAATGTATCGTAAGACTGTAACTGTATTTAATGTATCTGTGAAATAGTTCATATGAGCTATGGTACGTGAAGTAGTATTTCTGAGTTGCAAAGGGGTTTTTTGATACATGCATTTGAAGAGGTTAACTGCCAAGAGAAATGTGCTGAGTGCTCAGGCAAGCCAGGTAACGCCCAGAGCTATTAGTGTGCCTAACAGGAGGAGTTTAGATGGTGCTGGTTACCTGTTACAGAAGGCTGTCTGTCAATAGTGACCACATACTACAGCGGGTACCGCATGGGAAGTGGGATGTAAACCATCCAGGGGAGTGGCATTACTGTTGTGGCTCAGTCTGGGCTCAGACTGGGCCACGAAAAGGAGTGAGTTTACTCTTGTGTCTCTTCTGGCATCAAGTCCCTTCAACTTCATCTGTGCCGTGGGACTCAGAACGGTGTCCTGGTTGTGTCTTGACACCATATTATAGCAAGAGCTCTGTGTGCACATCTCTTCTGTGCCCCGCTTTCTGTGTGAAGGAGATGTGAGCAGCGGTGCTGGAGGGAACTGTGGTGTGTTGCAGCAGGTCTGATTTGTTATCTTCACTGCCTGGGATTCCACGGTACGCTGCAAAATGCTCCTACCGTGCCGTATAGACAATGCCTGTTTGTTTTAATACTTTGTGTAGCATTGAATAGTAGACTTAAAGCTACCCTTCTACTTGCTCAGGTGTCAAGCTTTAATGCTCCGTGGTTCCATTTTGAACTACTACTGTAGAGTTCAGTATCTCCTCTTAGTCATGTTGTCTCTATTTTAATGTTTGTATATAAGATGTTTCTGGTCATCCACTGGGTGATGAAGCTTATTTTTCCTCCTGTAGCTGCCAAAATGATGTACTATTTAGATCCTTCCAGTCAGAAAAGGGCAGTGGAGCTGGCAATGACCCTGGATGAATCCCTCGTTAACAGAAATCTTCAGGTAACAGATATTTATAAATTGTAAACAACTTCTGGTATATATGTGGAAGCTTTATGCAAATTACAGAGGTAAGAGGAAGCTGAAACGATTGCTGTACCTTATGGTAAGGAGGTTGGGTTGTCATGTGAGAGAAAGGGGTATCAGGCTCATCTGAACTGAAATGTTTAATGTCCTTTTTGCACATTTAAATTAATTTAGTTTTGTCATACTATGAAAATAGCTAGCTAGCAGCAGAAACCATGTTATTGCCGCAGGTAATGGGTAACCTTATTAAACACAAGAGAATTCATGTGGCAAAAGATGCTAAAGCTCCCCAATAAGAAAAGATTGCAGTCTGTCCGAGCTTTAGCTGTCACACAGGTGACTGTTCACAAGAAAAAAATTGACTTAGGAGTGGCTCAGACTCTGTGAAAGCTTTCCATATTCATTCCACTGCAAGCTGTGTGAATCATCTTAGCTTTAATAAAAGGTGCATACATTTTGGCCTTAGTATGTAGTTAATTAAAAAGCTTACCAAGTTTTGAAATTCTGCTCCATTCTGGTGGTCATGGAATAATCTCCCTGTGCCACCCCCACCATGCCCCTCTCCCCGCTCCCCCACCTTCATCTGGAGGAAGGCTACCAGTTCTGATTTGCAATTTAAAGTATTCAAGAGAAGGTTGGCTTTTTTTTTTTAGTATCTTCAAATGTTTCTTATGAAGAATTAATAAGCATGGGGTTTTTTTCAAAAAAACGATCTCCACACACTGGCAGAACCTTCCCTGACGAAGCAGAGAAGGAATAAAATGTCCTTTCTTTTTTTCTAGTCTTTTCTAAACTATTTCTGTATCCCGGTCAAACAGTTTCCTTTGGCATCACTGCAAGAGTGTCCAGCACATTTAATTAAGTATTAGAGAGATTCCTTGGCAAGCTGTGCAAACTTTAGGACATTTAGTTTCTCTCGGCTCCCCTGGCACTTTATTTCTTTATTGTGCTCTTTATGTCTGGGGACTCAAGAATTTTTTAGATCTATTTCAAGTAAAATTGGTGAAGTTTCTAGTAAAATTATTCTTTTGTGGGCAAAAATCAGCATTTTCTAAAAAACATCCATTTGGAAATATACTGGATTCAACAGAACTTTAATTGGGAAGGACTTTAAGTTCAAAATAGAATTTTTGGACAAAACAGAGGGGAAAAAAAGAGACAAGAGAAGACAATTTGCCATGATTTATAAACTTGTTTAGGATGTTAGATTCAGATCCTTTCTCTAGCTGATCTGGTTATGGGACACAAACTTAAGTCTTTTAATATCCTAAGTACATATGTAGCAGTTGTCATAAACTGTTTTCTTGGTTGGGTTTTTTTTTGTGTGTGTGTTACTGTTTGAGCAGTCTCAAAGAGCTTAAGATAGATTAGAATAGGTTTAGAAAACAAAAGTTAAATTGCCTTCAACAGCATTCTTTTTGCCTTGTAGCTGTCTTTTTTGCCCGAGAGTGGGATTCTGGGAATTGGACTGGGGAAAGATTCAAATGTAACCAAAAACTCTTGGTTGTTTTCGAGGTGTTATCTTGGTAGGACTACAAGAAGTATTTACTGACTCAGCAGTGTATAAAGATGATATACGCAGTATTGTGATAAAACTGAAAAAGTTCAATTTAAGCATTCTTGGTGCCAACATAGAGTAAGAGTTGGAGTTCTACTGAACTTTTAGGTGGGAAATTGAAAGTGCCTTAAAAAAAAAAGAGAATCTGAAGGAGTCTAGGCATTCGTTGAAAGGCATTCTCGTGTGCAAAGAGATTAAATTTATTACATTTCATTTTAGTAAAGACCAGCTGTCCCAAGGCACATTGCAGGCATAAATCTAGATATATTTGACCTTCTGAGGATGCCAGTGTCTCAAAGAACAAATGTGAGGAAAAGGGGTTGTTGAAGAGAACTTCATAACCCCACAGCAGGAGGACAGAGCAGTTAATCTCAATACACAGAACAAATAAAAGTGATAGTAAATGTCAGAGGAGTGGAAAAAGACTAGCATACGCAACATGGACAGATGTTAAACGCTGCTGGGCTTTAGTGAAGCTCAGTAGGTCGGTTTCTCATGTTTGGAATGCAAGTTGAAAAAACCAAGAAATCTTTTTCTCTTCTAAATCATGAACAAAAACAGATATGAAACTGCAGATATATCTGAAGGATGTGATAATAGCTGAGTAATTTGATTTGATTCACTATTTACAGGAACACTTCAGTAAGTCACATATCCTTAAATGTAAAAATGTTTGGGGTTTTTTTTCCCTACGAGAAATGTTTTCACATCTAACTATGGTTATTCAGCTGATGCTATTTTTACATTTTAATTATATTACACAATTCTTCCAATGCATCTGAAAGCATGCTCACAAAAGTAATTATTAGGAAATTATAGTATATATTCTGGATTTACTGTTTTTATTTGTGAACACTAATTCAAATGCATGTTATGTATTGCTGAAATGTCCAGCGTATCCCAAGGTTTTGGGGGCGGCGGGGCACTACAAACCCAAAAAACACATTCAGTTGCAAGTAAGCCTGGTTCTTGGTTCCCAACTAGTAAGAATCAATAGTGGTTTTTAGGAAAATAGGGAACAGGTGACAAATGAGTGTGTTCATTTTCAGTCAAGATTTCTAGCTGTTTTTTAAATCTCTTTTTAAACTGCATTATTTTGAATCAGACTGCACTGGTATTTCATGCTGTGTCTGATTTTAAAAATGCCATTTGATATTGATAGAAACCTGAAAACAATACTTGGAGTTTGTTTTCTTTGTAGTATTGTATTTCTGGTTTGTGAGTGCTCAGATGAATGTTCAAGAAACCATAACACTTCTTTCTTTTTCTCTTTAATTAGACTTGTATGGAGGTATTAGAAGCTTTATGTGACGGTAGCCTTGGAGACTGTAAAGAAGCATCTGAAACTTACAGAGCAAATTGTCATAAGCTTTTCCCTTATGCTTTGGCTTTCATGCCCCCTGGATATGAAGAGGATATGAAGATCACAGTTAATGGAGATAGTTCTGCAGAACCTGAAGAACTGGCCAATGAAATATGAACAACTTTATTGGAAAAAAATTACATTGGACCATATCTGGTGTATAATATTTTTGTCACGCACCTGCTGAATTGTTCTAACTTACGCAGAGAACAGAAGGAAAAAAAAATGTTGCCTTCAAATAGTTTTATTTTTTTTTTATCCTGCTGACAAAGTATATATATAAAATATCTAACATATTACTGGATATAGGTTGTTCGGTTTCTTAAAAATTAAAAGCTGCTAAAATTGAAGAAAAAAAAAACCCTTCTCCTTACCTACCTACCCACCCATGTTTTTAAACTAATTTATATGAGATCTGGAGGCGTATAGCCCTCGGAGCAGGTGTGTGGCAGAAATATTACTTTAAATTTGTCTTGTGAGATTACTGTTATCTCAGACAGCAAAAATGCTGTTTTAGCACTGGATTCTTTCACTGAGCACAAAGAGTTGTTGGGGCTTTAGCATCTGACTGATTTTGATACGGGGATGATTCTGTCCATAGGAAGTATGCAATGTGAATCAGAATATACAGAGAAACCCGCAACATACGTGTTATGTTGTGGATGCTGGGACATACAGATATCAAGCAGAGTTAAGAAACATAGTGTGTTCAATAAGCTTGTTGTGTCTCTGAAATTCACTGTACACGATCAGTTTGGTGTTCTTGCACCACAGTTTTTAACCGAAGGAACCAGTTAAAACTATCTCTCTCTTTGAATTAAACTTGGGGGTTGGGGTGGGGAGAATCAACATTGCTGTTCTTGAGATGAACCTATCAGCATAGGTTGGCCAAACTTTCTAAAACTGTAATGCAAGAACCAAATAAAATTATGCACTGTGATGTGGCACCAACTAATTAGAAAGATAGCATGCATTTTTCACATAGAGTGAAAACAAAATGAGAACATACTATGGCTTGAAGTTGCAAAGAGGAGAACTCCTGACTACCATTTTGACTGATCAAGAGACTAATAGTTTAAAACCTCAGCAGGCCTTGTTCACGTTATGCAGAAAAAAAAAAAAAAAAAAAGTGCTGCAGTTTAGATACCTCTGGAACTTTTCCACAGTGTCACAGGTTTGTAATACTTGAAGCCCTACATTTCTAAGAATATATTTCTTGCTCAGTTGTTTCAGGCAAGCCCAAGTCTTTGTAACTTTTAAGGGGCCCAAGATTTTTTTTCAATAACAGACCAGCTTCTTATTCCTGCAGTTACAGATGTAATTTCCTTTGTCAAACATAAGGTACCAAATATAATGCAATAAAATGTTTTGAAAAACAATTGTGTGAATATTTAAACCAATCTCTGTTGTACTTTGAAAATGAATGGGTTCACTAGAGTGCAGCTCAGGGTTGGCTTACTGTGCTGTCCAGTTATGCTAATAATGTCACTGCTGATGGGTGGTTGTTGAGTATAAAGTGCAAATGCATTATATGTAAATACTGAATGTCTGGGAAGTCCTATAACACAGAATGCTTTACTACTTGGCTTTTTGAGTTCCACCAATGTTACGTTGAATTTTATTTTCCAAGTCAAGCTTCAGTCTGCAAGTCTACTGTGTTAATAATATAGATAAGTGCTCAAATGTTTTTTTTTTATAGGCTCATCGTATAAAACAGAGCAGAACATAAACTTACAGCTTACAAAGTGAGTGCCTTCTTTGCTGCAGGAGTTCAGTTACAAAGTATCTGTCGTGTGGATACACAGCCTTCCTCTTCCACATCATGGAATTCGGTGATTGACACGTACAGTTAAGAAATCCAGGAAGACTTATTAGGGTTTGTAGTTTTCTAATTGTCAGAAGAACAGGTTTTTGTTTCTTGTATATTCAGCACCACTTTCTTTTCATGGTTAGACTATCCTTGTGTATGTTTGCAGTGTAGTTCATGTTGGAAATGTAAGTTGTATTGCTATATTTGTATATTTAATCTGCTGGGCTTTTAGGGACTAGAATACCTATAGAGCCTTTAATTGACTCTGGTATTTATGTCTAGATCTCAGTCTTTTCTGCAGCCTGAGATACTTGGACTGCATGTCTTCTGCAACTACTGAAGATGGTTCAATCTCGCCTACACAAGCTATGAGCTTTTGGCCTTGCCTCTGAGTATTGCTGCCGTTTTCTTGGCTTCTGATGCTTAGCTGGAGGCAGATGAGTGCTCACTCTTTTTAACAGATTGTGACTTGCATCAAGCAATTTTTTTTTCCAAATTCTGGTTTTTTTTGGGTGCTGCCTATAAATGGGATTATTTCCTTTTTCACCGCCTGTTTTTGTGTTGAAATAGATGAACTAAAAGCAAGAAGTTACTTGGTCTCTTTCATTATGCAAGTGGGAAAGGATATTTCTGTGGGCCTTCCAGAAGCCTCCATCTACACATCTATCGCAATTTCCCCAAAGACACTTCTTCATAACCTTGCTGAAAGGCATCCATAGTGCTTCAGAGATTATGCTTTTGGATTAAAGAGGTTCCTCATCCTCTTCCAGAAGACTGCAGTCCCAGGAAATGAAACTAAGTCAAGAGTTTACCTGAAGAAGAAGGTTCTTTAATTGGCAGAGGAATTGCTAGTCCTTCATCTTCACATCTCTCCTGTTAGATGCAATGCTAACTTCTGAGGAAGAGTTTTTAAGAGCTGGAAATGGAGTTACAATCCAAGGCAATGAGTCTTGCGAAGTAGTAGCACAGGGTGCCATGCTACAGTGAAAACTTTCCTTTGCATGCTGAGATCCAAAATTGTAATCATTGGTGCTTGGCTGCCAAAGCAGGTGAGCGGGGATTGTAGTCATGGTCAGAGTGACCTAGAATGCTGGCTTACTAATGATGTGATTTGGTTTGATTCTTCATGATTTTCACTGGAGAAAGATGTTTTCACCATCAGTGGAGCCACTGGTGGTGACATATGCCATGGATGTCTTTCCTGGGAGGAGGCGGAGGGGGGGAGTTCAAACCACAAATTTTCCCTAGATAGAGACTGTAGATGGTGCAAATGCACATTGTATGAAGCAATGCCAGAGTCAGAAGTGGACTTACATTGTAAGTAACTGAAAGTGGTTGTTTGCCCCAAGATGATAGGTGAGGTACTCACTTTTTCCGTTTGGAGACCAGACCATTCAGATACGTGATATGTGTGAACAAACAGGTAAAATAGTCTCAAAATGATCTATTCAGTAACTCATTTCTTTGCATCCTAAATGCCTTAAAAGCCTATATATTCTTCTACGGTTAGAGTTTTTTTCAGTAGAGGTCTTAATACTTCCGTGTTCATAGGGGAAGAATCATGTCCTGATGTGTGGTGCGTCAGCCAGAATACAGAAGGAAGTTTGTTGCTCAGTTTTTCTCCTAGCATAGAGAGAAAATTCCAAGTTTCCCAGGGAGCTCTCTAGGGCTAGATGAGGTATGTGTAATTAGCCTATTAGATCTTCCTTTAGTGTTTGCTTTGGTTTGTTTTTCCAGGTCTGGAGGTGCTCCAGCTGTACAGTAGACCCTGGAAGTTGGTGCAGCACCTTACTATTCAGCCAGATTGAATTGTTGGTGTCTTCATAGAAAGAAAACACTGATGAGGGTAGGGTGAGATCAGGCCTGAGAAACCAGAGGTGCAAATACAATTTCAGTATCACGTGATCAAGTTCAAATAAGAAAACTTAAGATCTTTGTCTAACATGATGCCTTTGAGGGTTCGAGCAATGGTGCCATCGTTCCTGCAGTGCTAGCTTCCCATACGCCACAGTTGTGCTTTGAGTGTGTGCCACTAATGCTAACAAAAAACCACTTGATACGATAATCCAGCTCAATATACCGGAATTAAAATTATTTTATTTTTTCCTTTTCATGATCGCTTTAAATGTTTTTGTAGGTGTTCTGTACTGGGTAGCTAGCTAGCTTTGAAATCTTTCCCCTGTCTTTCCCCCTAAGTTTGCTCTAAAATGCAGTGTGTACCTAAGTGGTAATGTAAAATAGCTCGAACTATGTGGAAGTAAAAGTTACGCTTGTCTGATAACATAACTGCTTTGGGATTCTGCGGAGGAAAACGATGCAAACGTGGTATAATTAGACAGTCATATCAGTAAGGAATCAAGCAGTCTATAAGCTTATTAATGAAAGTTAGAAGTTCCAGATGGAGGAAAATGGTTGCTGAGCTTGGGGAAAGACTCTTGCTTCCAGCAGCGTTCCGGTTGTGAACTGTTGGATGTGGTAAGGAGCAAAGGGCCTACACTTTTACAAAACTTACGGTCATGTTGTCATGATTGTATTTCCTGGAAATTAAAGCTGCAGTCTACAAACAACAGATTTAATGCCTGTTTTGGGCAGAGATTCTTTTTCCCCAAGGGCATACAGCAAGCAGTGAGAATGGCAAGGAGCAACGGATAGAGCAGCTTGGCAAAAGGAGACTGAAGTGAGTTATAAGGAGGTGGCATAATAGAAATTCCATTTTAGATTAAGTATAAAATAGCTTTTTTTATTATTAGAAAGATTACCGAAGCTGTAAATACTATAATTGCAGTCTTCCCATGCCAAGGAAGCTGTTAATGTGTATTACTTTTAGAGTGGTACAAGCAGATAGTAGTATGTTCACAAAGATTCTAGCTTTGTATGTTGGTCTTCAAGTAAATCATGGCAGAAAACTTGGAGGACAAAGATTGTCCAGTTTACAAGGGACCATATCAAAGGGTTTGTAAGAATATTGCAAGAGAAATATTACTAGAAAATCCAAAGCATCTTAGAACAGCTTTCCTAAGATGTTTGTTGTTTTAATTGAAAATGTTACATCTGCTAACTGTTCGTAACAAAAGACAAAAAGTACTTTTACAAAATATTTCTGCCTGGCACTGCCCATTCAATATCTACCTCTACTAGTCCTAGTCTAGTTCAGCTACTGCATCATTTTAGCCATTTAGCATATAACGTATGAAAAAGTGTCATTTACCTGGTTGGTGAACAAATGTATGATGATGGATAACGTTTAGTTTTAAACTGTAATGCAATAAACAACAAACTTAGTGAAAGTCCTGTTGTTGGTTCAGTGCAGCAGCATATTTATTGCTTCATTGCTGATCCGTTCAAAAAAATCTTAATTATAAACTCCACCAAGTTACTTGCAATTGTACTGGGATTTGCTTTCCCTTCCAGCCTTCCTAACTGGTTAACAATGTTGTACTGTGTTTTTACGCTCTTCTCTGGTGGTAGCAAATATCAAAACTGGCAGGAAGTCAATCAATGAATAAAAATGCTGAGTTCTGTTTGTAAATGAGTACCAGTGTTTCCTTGTAGGGTTCAGCGTCCTCCTTAGATGCCTACCAGCTTTGTAATAAATGATCCCTTGACTAGTTCCCTTAATTCCCCATTGTCTCCTTCCATGCTGACGGGTTTTAAATTGGGGTGCGGGTCTCGCAAAAGGGAGAAAGATAAGTCTGTGGCTCCCTTCAGCGTCGGGCTGGAAAAGAACCACCTTGGCAGGGAGCTGCCTTTCCTACCCTACGAGCTAATTGTACGTGCGTATAAAAAGATCCGTTGCTCTTCCAGGCTACAGAGAGCCAATATGGGGATTTGGGAAATGCTCTTACTGAAGGATTGAATAAAAGGAGTTTGAGAGGCAAGCTGCGTGAAGAAGCATTTGCTGTTTTCCTCAGATCTGGTTTGGGGAGTTGGGGGGTAGGGGGGGGGGGGGAAATAATAAATCTCAGTAGCCTTCTCTTCCCCACCCATAAGCCCACAAAACTTTCCTGAGCCAGTGTCTGCAGATGTCTTGTGGTTTCTTGTGCTTTTAATCAGCAGAAAAAATAATATGGTAACGCTGAAAAACTGGAGCAAAAGTAACTAGCTAGCAGCTGACATAGCATTATAATAACCTATAGTGTGTTGTGAACTTGACAGTTAAGATTACCTGGAAAAAAAAAGTTAACTACTGTGTGTAATTACTAACAGTTCTGATTAACACTGTCTACAGTGTTAGTAGCACAAAGGGCTCCAGCAACTTGCAGGTTCTGTGTTTTGTTATAAATGCCTGGGAGGGGAGGGAAGATAATTAAGTGATTACAGCACTATCCTCATAGTCAGCCCTTTGGATGTGAAAGGGGAGCTTGTTGCAGTAAAGGTTGCTTTGCATAGATTGTACTAAAAAATAACATCCTCTAAAAAATGGCATCCCTTCCTTATTAATGTCCTCAGTAATTTCATTTTTCTTTTGTGAGAGGGGAGTGGCATTCACACAGGGTGACTACCTGCCTTGAACCTTTAATACTTTCAAACTCCACCCTGCCATTTCTGGGAATGTCACCTCATGATTGC